ATGAGGATATGGCAACAATAACTGCCACGTCAATCGGGGAATGAAAATCCAGAAACAAAATGCATCATCGGGACCGGGGACTGCGCAGCCAGCCCCGTAGAAACAAGTTGTACAAGATAGCCACAAGTAATGGCAATTCCTTTTAAGCATAGCAAATGCTTATGTATTTTTTGAAAATAGAAGGAATAAAATGAAATACTTTTGTTTTTATCTTGTTTCTTGTCTGAACGATGAATAAACTTTGTCATTTGAAAGTTAAACAAGTACTTCAAATGTTAGTATCGTAATGAACAGGAGACGTCCTCTTCAAGAGCACCGTAAACATAAGAGGGCCCTCTCTTATAAAAACTCTCATGTTAAAGGGTTGGTTCCGGAAGAATCTATGCCCGGAATAAAAAATGCCTTCGGGGAAAAATACACCCGAAGCCACATATGAAAAGGACGCAAAAAATAAACTTGCACAAATACTTATAAAAACCCTCACGTTAAAGGGTTGGTTCCGGAAGAATCTATGCCCTAAATAAAAAATGCCTTCGGGGAAAAATACACCCAAAGCCATATATGAAAAGGACGCAAAAAGTCAACTTGTGCAATTACTTATAGAAACCCTCACGAAAAAGGGATAATGCTCAGAACCAAAGTGCTTCGAGGAAAACACATTCGAGACTACACATAGTAAAACGCGAACAGAAAAATGTGTGCAGAACTCTTGAGCAAATGCAAAGATTAAAGACTTGCATGGAAATTCAAACGAAAGTAAGAATCAAACGATACTTGAGAAAAAATATGTCTTTATTTACAAGAACGTGCCAAAACGGTAAAAGTTCAAAATGGGAAAAAGAAAAGAAAAGCTAAATTGCAGCGCCTCCGGAACCAGGAGGAAGAGAAGTGTCCGCATTCCGGGGAGAAGTAGGCGGGTCCACCGATGGCTCAACGTTTTCCCCAGTTTGGTCTTAATCATCGTCACCTTCCGATCCCTCTTCAGTTTTCGAAAACTCTAAACTGGAATCAGAAGAACCAAGAGCATCAGACTGCGCCAGGAGTCCATTTTTAGCAGCTAACTCAGCTCTCGGGCCTTAGCAATTTCGGCATCAAAGTCGATAATACCAGCTTTGGCCTCTTCCAAGGTTTTTCTTCTCATGTTGTACATGGCATAAGTTTTTTCAACAACGAGGGAAGTCGCTCAGTGCTTAAGTTCTTCTTTGAGTTGGGTAACCTCGGCAGAAAGGCTTTCCAGGGCGAACCTAGCAGATTTGAGGCTAACGTCAAGGTCTCGGACAGTTGAACTAAAGAGCCTATTATGCTCGATAGTTTTCTTATACTTCTCTTCTAGCTGGGCATGTTTCGCCCCCACATCAGCAAGATCTTCGAGTTTGGAGTTCAGGGCTGCTTCTAAGTTAATCACTTTTTCGATAGTAGCAGCCTCGCACTCGGTTGCAGCAAGAACGACGGCCTGGACTTCAGCCCATTTGGCCTTAGCTTCATCAAATCTAACCCTCAGCGGGCCAATTTCTTGGCTAAGGGTAACCACTTCTTGCTCGCTTTGCTAAAATTGAGCCTCCAAAACAACGACGTCAGTAACTTTGGTTTCCAGTTCCGAGAGGCAGAGAACATTTTGGTCTCGTTCTACCAAAAGTTGATTCCATTCAGAAGTAAGTTCTTCCTTCTCACGAATCAACCTTTGAAGGCCCTCAAAAGCAAGAAAGTTGGCCTATAAAATAAGAAGAAGTAAAACTTAGAATACATTCATGCAAAAGTAGAAGAAGTAATAAAGGAAGAAAAGAACGTACTGCTGCGGTGTTATGCATGGCATTGTTCAACAAGCACTCTCCCGAGAGTGCCTGAATCTTTTCCCAGTCTTTTTATGAAGCCAAAGGCTTCTGATAATTAGCAAGCTCCACCGGCCGGGATAGCAAGTTACATCCGGTAAAGACCGAAAGAGTAACATTCCTCCTCTTTTGTGGATCTTTAGAAGGGGCAGCATAACTTTGCCCCAAATTCCCATGAACTGGGGACTATGGAAGATGAACACCTTCTTCATGGTCAGATGCGGCTGATGGAGTTGGTGTAGCAATTATTGGTGGAAGAGTGGATAAAGATGGAAGTGATGTAGTAGTTGTTGGTGTTGGTGTTGGTGTTGGTGAAGGTGGAGATGAAGCTGATGGAGTTGAAGAGTGAGAAGCAGCTGCATCAAGTGCAGTGCTGGTTGTTGGATACTCGCCAACCAAAGATGACAAGGACCCGGTACTTAGCCCCGCAGCACCGGTTACAACAATTGGGGCCCAAAAATGGGAGTCGGCATTTCTACCAAATCATATTATCCCCAAAGTGTCGAGATAAAGTCTTCAGTTGGTGTAACTATCTTAACAGGTCGAGCATCATGTTGAGATGATGAGGATTGTCACCCTCTATGTAGAGAAGCTCCCTCATCACTAGCTTCGTCATCATCATCAATCATCACGCTGTCTATGACTGGCCCATAAGGAGGACCAGTCGTCATCGCCACCGGAGATGACTCGGGGGCATCAGTCTTTGCCCTCTTATTCTTTTCCTCGGTCGTGGAGGAACGTATTCTCTTTGGTTGCTTATCCTCCGGCCAGGGACTCCATAAAGAAGTGTTTGCGCCCGAAACAGGCCCGGGGATACTTGTTTGAGTAAGTGCTTCCTGAAGCAGCCTCGCTGGATCAGCAGGATCAGCCAAAATATCCTCTTCGGGGACAGCAACAGAGCCCGCAGGTAGACCTAATTTCGTGAACAAGTCAGAAGGGTTCAACCAAGTTCTCTATATATTAAAAAAAATGGAAGCAAGGTAAACTAAAATTACCATGATTTTTGGCCTTCCAGTCGTATTTAAGGGCTAGTTCTTTCCACAAACGAGTTTTGGGCGTCGTGGTGTCCAAGATTTTTTGAACCCACTGCTCCAAAACTTCCTCCACCAGTGGGATCCATCAAGTTGCTAAAATATGCGAAGGGTGAAAAGTTGATACGGTCATAAAAGAAAAAAGAAATACTAAACAAAGAGCTTACGAGTGCGGTTCCAAGAAACCGGAAAGGATGAAGCCGTTGTCGGAATGATGTTGTTGGTGGCGACTGCAATGTACCGTTCCATCCACCCACGGTCGTTGTCATCATCCATGCTAGACAGAAAAGCATGGTGGCCACGCTTGCAGAGGTTTATCAGTCCCTCGCAGAAGATTTTGGTAGAATAGAGATTCATCATATGGGCTAAGGTTAGCTCCTCTCCAGTTTCCTCGCATAAATGTCAAAGGCAGGTGATCGTCCTCCACATTGAAAGACTTACTCATGACAAACACACCTGGTAGCAAAGGAAAAACTCCGCAATCACGGAATCAAACTCTCCGCTCAAATAAAACGCACCCAAAGTAAAGGGATACGTGAAAAAGTATGTAAAACTTTCCTTGGGAAGGGTCACTCGCTCTGACAGATCAGGAGCAATGATATCCAACTCATGGTAGCGGCAGTCCTCCTTCACAACAGGAATACTGGAAGGACGGATCGAAGAAGGGTACCTACTAACAGCCCATGTTCGAGGGTTAGTAGTAGGGAATTTTTGTTCAAAATTCTTTGTGGTACTAAGTTTTCTTGGGATGATGGAACCCACCATTGGAGGAACAGAGTCCTCGGTTTTGTTCTTTTCTTTGTAGAACCAGCACGCTTAGAGGAAGAAGCCATTGAAAAAGAAGAAGGAAAAGGTTTTGTGTTTGAAGAGAATTAGAGAAAGGATAGGAAACAAAGATGCAAATCAGAAATTCGAGAAATTATGAAACGCAAAGGAAAAAAAGGTTGCGTATAAGTAAAATTTTGGCGGCTAAATTCATGGCCATGATTACCTCAATAATCAACAAAGGTTGTGCTGAATCATGGGATGACGCGTGTTCGGGGCATTAAATGCAGAGAGACATGCGTCTAATCAACTGTCAGGAACTTTCAGAGAGAGTTATAGTAATTTCCGCCAAAAAGGTATTTCTACCAACTTCCCGGTAACACAAATTTATATCACCGGAAAGCAGGGGGACTATCTATATAGGGTGAAATATGATATGACACATGGTCGTCTAAAGGGAGGACACGCGGAACCCAAGACGGGGATGGCCGAAGACCGAACGCAGCCATTCCGCTTGTCACCGGAAAGGATAACGTTCATAAAGGTGTGTTAAATGCTCTACGCCCGATAGTATTTAATAGGAAATATTCTGCAGCATTAAGAGCGACGGTCCATTACAGAGAATTTGGCATTTATGTTCATCGTTACGTCTTCATCAATGACACTCATAATTGACATTAAAGGAGGACACGATCCTAGGAACTCCTTCCCTAGACATAGCTATAAATAGTGAGCTTAGTTATCATTGTAAAGGACACGAATTTTCTGGCTAAACTTATACTACATTCTATACAAAGCTTAATACAATTTTACTTTCTTGCTTTTTGATCTCATCATTGTTGTGCCCGAAAATCTTATTCCCGGAACTGTCATCTCTGTTGTTTCATCCATATTTCAAGGTTAAGTATTGTACATTTCTTCAATTATTGCATTATTTCAGGATCAAATTAGTTCACTTTTCTAAAAATCACGTATAAATTCAATTGTACCATTTTACGGGTAAACAATAAGATTACTAAACTTTCACCCTCAAGATACATTCTCACTTCCTTATACATTTTTATTTTATAACAATTAAATGGTGCATATAACTCTCTAAAAAATGGGTCAATTATTTTTTTGGCTCTTTACAAATTTATTTTTAGTTTTATGATCATACATCTATTTTTACACATGAAAAATTTATTTTTACACATAAGAGATTTGAAAAAAATATTTTTTTAAATTAAAAATCGTAAAGGGGCATGACTTATAAATAGCAACCAATGGAAATGACTTTCACATTATTGAGTCATTGTACAAAGCTAATCCATACCAGAAAAGGACAAACAAATAAAATAAAACCAAAATTATAGTTGGATGAGCGTGTCTTCTGGTAAAAGACATCCGACGACAAGATCTCCCCAATTGAGTAATAATTTTCTCCGAAAGCATATATAGAGAGAGAGAAAAGAGAGAGAATCCATTTCTCTTCTAATCTCTCTCCTCTTTATGGAGAATTCTCCAATTATATCATATTTTATATTTCCCAATACAAGTAAGTTTCATGACACTCTTAGCATATTAAACAGTCTTACTTTTTTTCTTTTTTTCTTTTTTTCTGTGTGAATCTGCGAACTAAGATTAAAATACAAATTGTCCTCTGAATTAACCTTATATGCATCACTTTTATCTGGAAATTGTTTTTTGCATGCATGTAACATAAAGGAATTCTGTAAGAATCTTGTGATTGATGCCGTACAATTGATTCCCTAAGTATGTGGGACTCAAGATTTATGGGTTTTTCATTTGTTTTCTTTATTTTGGGAATCTATTACGGTTTTCTGTTTATTTATTTGTTTTTATATCGCTAATGTTAGGAGACAACGTGGTGAGCAACCTCCACCACGTCCAACCAAGAGTTTGCGAGTTCGAGTCAGCCCAAGAGCAAGGTGGTAAGTTGTTGGAGGGAGGGAGCCGAGGTCGGAAACAGGCTCTCTACGCCAGGGTAGGGGTAAGGTCTGCATACACACTACCCTCCCCAGACCCCACTAGCGGGATTATACTGGGTTGTTGTTGTTGTTGTTAGGAGACAATGTCAATCTACTGCAGTTGTCCTGATATATTTAAGCTTATATACGGATATGATCTGTGAATTTGGATTTGAGTAGTGTGGAATGGATAGAGTGGATTCATATAACTGAACCCAACTGGGTAGGGATTGATTGATTTGAATGAGTGAATTTGAAAGAAAGAGTAAAAGCAAGCTTTGATCTTGAAATGTCGTTCAGATAGTCAATTGATGCAAAATAATATCTTTTTTATATACATCTTTTAGTCTTGACCGATGAATGTATAACTAAGATGTATCCATTGAATTACAAAGTGTCACTGATGGAGGAAAAGTTTATAAATGGATAACTGTTTACTTTGAAAATGAAGCCTATGTGAATTTTGCAAATCGTAGGTGTTTGAAGTCCAAATAAAGGAGGTGGATTGTCGGAATTTGAAGATTAGCGTAAAAGGTGTCTAACTATTATAAATCCTCTTAATGCTGACCTGAATAGTGCAGAAAGGATACAATGAATTCATATAGCCAGCCCAACTAATTTAGGATTAATGTTCAGTTCATTGATTAATTGTTCATTTAGACGGCTGGCACACCTAAAGAAGTACTAGTTCAGCACTAACTATGTTGTCATGATTATGCCTTTTGCCTATTATCAGTTTTGTTAGCCTATTTTGTGTTGGGGTTTTAACTAAACGTATGAGGAGCACATTTTGATGTTGATATCCAAGAATCTCCTTTTAACTATACAAAGTGAATTAGAATGTGAAAATTGTCAAAAAGTTTGGCACACATCACGAGTTTGAACCTTGCCATGGACCAAAGCCTAGTATTTAAGTGGAGAAGGATAGAGGGGTAGGGCCTTTATCCATCGAGTTTGGAACCGTGCACCAGCTAATCCTCGGGGATTTCTTAGTTATTAAGAAGAAGAATGTAACAAATGTCAAAACTTCTAACATTGAAGTACTAAATAAATGTTGATCTATTTTGCTAGTTCTTTAGAGAATGAATCTTTCCTGTATTTTGCTGGTGGTTAATACAAGGCAGCGGGACAAGTGGGACAATAAACTGCAACAGTTCGTATTTGCCATTTATTTGAGAGGCCTTGATTAATGAGGAGGCGTAAACATAATCCAGCTCTTATTTTAATCTGTTATTGCTTGTGAATTTTAAGTTTTCTATCATTTAGACATGGTAGATTAATGACTAGTTATCTTCAGTGTTATTCAGGTTCAAAACAGAAGCAAGAAGTGTTTAAGATTGAACCAAGAGGCATGCTACTTTGAAGGTTGGGCTCATCTTTTAGTACCATATACAAGTACAAGCCAAGTTGCAAACTCGAGTAATTGTTAGCAATAGCGATTTAAGTTGCTCCCTGATATGTGGAGATCTATTTCAAATGCCATCACAAGCTTTGGACAGAAGAAGGAATCTGGTGAGTCCAGTCAAGCTTGCCATGAATTCTCAGATGACGACGACGATGCCTGTTCTAATTCCAGCACTGAGGAAGGGCTTGAATGCCCAATATGCTGGGAGTCTTTTAACATTGTAGAGAATATCCCCCATGTCTTGTGGTGTGGTCACACGCTTTGCAAGAACTGTTTGCTGGGACTTAAGCCTGCTTCTATGAAGGTTTCCACTCAACAGGTTCAGATTCCATTATTCATTTCCTGCCCATGGTGCAATTTGTTGACATTTCGATTGGCATTCAACGGGAATCTCAAATTTCCTAGCAAGAACTTTTTCCTCCTCTGGATGGTGGAAAGCCGAAATGGTGACAGGGTGAAGTCTCCATCTGCCAAATGTAGGGATCATCAACAAGAGTGGTCCGTCCGAGGCACTGCAGTTATGGGGAACAACACCTCTGTCATGACCTACAGGAGGGTTCATCGTCCAGGATCTCCAGGGTCTAATGCTGGTGGTTATAACCATACTGGTGGTACCCCTACATTGCAGAGGGCCCACTTTTCTCTTCACAAGTCCCTTGATTTCTTTATTCGCCTTACATCCAAGTTCCCATTAGTTATTGTGCTTCTTCTACTTGTTATGTTTGCAATACCCTCCTGTGCAGCTGTTCTAGCACTCTACTTAGTGATCACAATTCTCTTTGGACTTCCATCTTTCCTAGTATTGTACTTCGCATATCCTGCTTTAGAGTGGCTGGTCAGGGAGATCACGGCTTGAAATGTTCTCATTCAATTTGTTTGAGAAATTCTCTGTCTATAGCTTCCTTGACTTGGATTGTGAAGCTGTAATGCGCAATACCTCTGGTTGCATTCGTAAACATGCCTCACCGGTGTGATCTTAGTTCTCATATCAAGGATGGTGTAAATTTCTTGTTTATTGTGGGATTTAACACTTGAGTTTTTCTAGTCTCATTGTGGACTAATAATATCAGTTCACAGATCCACAATTTCTCCTTAGCTTAGTGGTTGCTGTTGCTGAACTAGCTTAGAGAAGTCAGCTTGGTGGTATAACTGTAGATTATTTTCTCTCAGTGTTATCAATGGCGGCGCTTAAACCGCGCTTAAGCCCTGAAGCGAGGCTCAAAACATGTTGAGTGCTTCATATCGCTTAGCGGGCGCTTCAGTATTGTCATCAAGGCGCTAAGGCATAATTTTCCTTGCGAATGAGTGTAATCCTTAAGAGGCGACACTAAACAATTGATATTTCACTTTATCATAAAATTTCTTCAATTTCTTTGTCCATATATTTGGTATTCATGCTTATAGATATTAGTCTTGGACTATACATACATATTTGTGGTGTTTCTCCATTTGCTCCTTTCTTCATTCAAGTCCATGCTTTATTTGCGCTTAAAGCCCCAATATGCCTTAGAGCGTTTTTGCGCTTTTCGCCTTTGATAAGTGGTTTCTCTTTATGAAAGCTCTTATACCTGGAGAATTTGCCTGAATAGGAAAACATGGTTTGTCTTTCATACTCTTTTATTCAGCAATATTCCATTTCATGATGTGGTTTGAGCTTCTCCTCAACCAAAAGAACACTGCTAATGCTCTGGTTGGAGTGGAAAGTAGCTGTTGTAATCATCTCCTAGGAAAGTAAACATCGTTCCTCAGAGATCTATTGCCAGTAGATTGATAACTCAAGTTTAGCTACCATTTTCACATATTTTGTGTTCGACTACAGGGTGTCTTTCGACTTGGTATCTTGACTGTTTCCAACCCTTTTTGGGTTAAGCACGGGAGATGTTAGAGTGGCACTGAACTCGAGACCTTGGTATAATACCATTTTAGAATGTAACCCGTCTCCTTTAATAGCTACGAGTCGTTTGATTTGCAAACTAGTTATACCAAAATTGTAATATGAGAATTTTAATACAGGGATTAAATATAATAGATCATTTAGTGGAGTAAAAATGAAATGCACAAGTTATTATGATATATGTTTACCCTCAAAATCGGATAACAATTGAATTTGTAGGTGGTTTTAAGGATACACGATTTAACTTGATACAAAACGATAAATCAGTTTGCAATTGAAATAAGTAATGGAAAAGTAAATGCAAACCATACGAGTTGAGCAGTCTTAGACTTGGAAGATTAGCCACCCTCGAGCCAAAAGTGCCTTGATCGATATTAGAACAGAACAACAAGAGAATAATAAAAACTTAAAGAGAATAACAATGTATTGCTTTGGGATGCGTGTTACAATGTGTTGAATGAATTATCAGATCTCATTTTCATAGTAGAGGAGTCCTACTCTAGGTACATGACGAGGCCAATGCGTATAAGATTTGCTACTCGTACTCTGTCAAATTCTAGTATAGTTTATGATATCGTCCCACAGAGATTGGAGAATCTAGCTACAAACTTATAATATTCTTACTACTATTTGAGAGAATCAAATTGATGAAGTTTTGTTTGTTGAAAATTTAAATTGCTTAAGTTGAAACAAAATAACTTTCGGAAGATTTATGTTTAAAAAGAGTTGGGAATCATTGAATTCATTCGATAACGTGATAATAATAAAATAATAGCTTCTACATGTATTTCTCTTAGGAATAATTGTTTATTGCTAATACAATTTTACTTTGCTCACTAAGAAATAATTAATTAATAACACTCCGCGAGGTTATGTAAATCAATTGATATATGACTCGTGACGATTAAACTGAAATAATTTTCTTGCCTGAATTGTGCTAAAAGATAGCAAAAACCTCTTGCGATTACTTTTTACTAAAAATCAATAATCTTGTCAACTACAACTCCTCCGTGAGAATTAGAATGGAAGTAAGCAAGATTATAGACTTGGAATGATAGCTTAATAAGAATTACTCTCACTCTATTATTTTACCCAATAGCTATCATATATTAATTTTGCTTCGTAAGAATTATAAAATTGACATACAACTAACTTTGGAGAATAAATAGATAGAAGTGATAATAATTAATTAAAACTAATATTCCAGCACAATATAGAAATATAAGTAGAAATTTTCAAGGCAAGCATGTAGTTAAAATTGAGATTAATATTATAACGATATCGAGCTTCATCAACTATCCCAACAAAAGAGATTACTCCATTATGGAGTATTTAAATCTCACAAAGAAAGAAATTCTTAAAATACTATCAATACTCTTAGAAAATTCAAAAACTACAAGAGGAAAGTGAAATAGATAAAGAAAGAAGTAAAGACCAAAGCTAGAGAAAAAGTTGCTAATTTGGCACGTCTAATGTCCTTCCTTCAACATAAATATGGTATACTATTTACAGAAATCAAATCTCATAAGGTGCCATGTTGCCTCATGCTTCATTTACCATGTTGCCTCTTGCTCTTTTGCCTTGATGCCTCGTGCTCTTTTGTCGTGATGCGTCGTGATCACTTTTTATTTCCTTTATTTGTGTTATCATGATATTTGTGTTATCATGATATATATATATATATATATATATATATATAAGTATATTAAATATGAATATTTTATAGTCATCAAACTCCCCCGCACTTGAATCCTTGCTTGTCCTCAAGGGAGTAATTTTATTAATAATTGTTGTTTCTTGTAGAGTAGAAAAATAAAAGGAAATAAAATTTCACATAAAATTCAAAACCTATAAGTTTTTCAAGTCGCCAAATTTTTAACTTGTTTCTGCTTCTGCTTTTGTTTGCCAAAAACTTTCAACTCCTCTTTTGATGAACCTTTTGAGATTGATAACATTATGATCACAATTTCGAGTTTCTCAAATTTTTGTCCATAAGCTTGCCCTTCATGTCAGTCTCCACTAATGTAGAATCAATACTAATTTCTAAAATTATTTTAGGACTTTTTCAGACTTGTAATGATAGGCTTAATGATGGTAAGATAAAAGGATATATTGTAGTGACTTTGTTCCATCCAACTTTATTATGAGAGCCGATTATTTTACCAAAGTAACTATGTACAACTCAACACAAAGAAAATAACTCTAGAGATTGGGCTAAAGGTCCCGGTCTCCAATTCCATAATTAATATCACTTAAGTCATCATTTCTCTTAATAGATTTCTTAAATTCAAACTTCTTGAATCAAGAATTTATTCTACAGATATATACACATTGTTTTCCTCTTCTTCTTTTTTTAAAGAGTGAAATATAATATTTACTCCACAAGTATTCCTTCATTGCTTGCTTTAATAATCATTTTTGCTCAACTATAGCCGAAAGGAGTAGTATCGATATTTTGTAGGATAAACCAATATGGTGTATCAATAAAATTTGGTTTAATATAAATATTTGTGGTTAAAAATAGATAGGCTAAAAAGTGTATCAAAGAAAGCCTAATTTCATTCTAAAAATAGTGTTGTCGAGAATTTTGTCTTGATAGACATTTGGGGCAAGTTCTAGCAGAATTTTATTGATTCTACCTGTTAAGATCATAATGCTTCTCAATTCCAATACTTTTTTAAATTTAGAGATACTCATTCTTGCCTTTGCAAAAATAAAATCACAAACTTTGAAGTTATATGGCATAAATGAAAATAATTATGTTTGAAAATATGCAAACAATTACTTTAAAACTTTAATATTGTACAAGAACAACAATTAAGAATAAAATAAAAGATGGATATAGAGAGAGAGATAGATGCCACAACAATTGATCTGCAAAAAAGAGTGTACATTTGCAGATGTCTTCAGGAACGAACAATGCATCTTTCTTCTTTATGTAGCCAAAAGTCCATTATGCTTCTTTATTCCAAGTACATTATGCATATACTTGGTATAAGCAATTTTCAAAATGTACCACGACAACCTCTGTTCATATAAAAATTGTTGTGTATATCTATTTAAAGTAGAAATATTCAAGAGAAAGAAAATGACTCATCATAATATAACCCCTACCTCTGTCTCAATAAACACTGTTAGTTGACATAAAATTTAACAGAAGAAAGGAAATTATGAAAATCAAATGCTACTTCTTATCTTTTCATAGAACAACAAGTGATTCCAGTGTTATAAATTGAAACACAGTAGTTAATCCATGCATTAAATAAAAAGGATTGAATATTTCATCTTATGTGGGTGTGTAGAGTTAGAATGCACCTATTTATTGTCAAAACCCAAAATTCATACTGGTTATGATGGTGCCGGACATCACTGTCAGGCAAGTCAACAATAAATACTTAATTGGATTCTCATTTTGCTACTTTTGAAATCATATTTTCCTTCAATTTAAATAGTAAAGAATGGGGATTACAGAGTAAATGATAATACTTTTAACAAATTCAATACAGAACAACCCATAATCATCCCAAAACCCGGTGTCACAAGTGCATGAGCATTAACTAGAAATATAAAATACAATATAGCAGCTGTTCGGAATACAAATTGGACAGAAAAAATATAAATACTCTAAAGGAGACTCTGCTGGCTGCGGATCGATGAATGGAATCCAGCTCACCTACGTCCCCGCATGTATACACGCCTATACTCTCACATGGCCTCTAGACATATATGTACATACATAAAAATGTGCAGCAAGTTGAGTATGAGTACGTAAGTAACGTGTACCAGTAAGTATCTAGCCTAACCCCAGAGGAGTAGTGACGAGGGGTCGACATTGACTCTCACCGGTGGTCCAACAACATCAGGTACAGTAAAAAGGTAAGTAAGTATGAGGCAAAGTAATTAAATGAAATAAACAAGTATAAAACACATGATACAAATCCCCCTCTTTACGAGGAACTCAAACTCTTCATTAGAAATTTCCTCCTTAACCGGAGTATATATATAGATATAGTGGATCTCATCAAGTAGCTTACCATAATTCAAATCCGGGAATTCACTGATACACTGGCTTCTTGCCAAGTCTTACGCACGATTTCATGGAGATATGATTTAGGAAATGTCGAGGTGTACGGCCCGATCAAACATAATAATAAAATTGTGCACTGCCGAGGGTCGAACGGCCC